TAGTATTGTTTTTTTAGTTTATTTTTAAATNTGATGCAAGATTGTCTAATTGACTTTAATTCAATTAGATTTTCAATATTCGGATTTNTTAGATATTTTGTATACAGTTTGGTTTTTTTATTTAACATTATTTTAAGATCATCAGTTATCCAAGGTTTATCACGTAATATTTTTTTAATTTTTCTTATTATTTTAATTCTTTAATTTTTTTTTAATTTTTCTTGCTGATGAAATACGACAGCATTCGTTAAAGTTCTTTACAAAAATCTCTATGAATCGTTGAAACCCGACATTTACATCCTCACAGTTTAAAACGTTTGACCAGTCCATGTTTATTAAATATTCGTATACATACATACATACATACATACATACATACAAACATACATACATACATACATACATACATACATACATACATACATACATACATACATACATACATACATACATACATACATACATATATACATACATACATACATACATACATAAAGAAGACAGGTTGACAGACAGACATACAGACAAACAAACAGACGTACAGGCATCTCATTGTTGTTACTGGACAGACTGTTTATATTTTCAGGAGTTGAGAAAATAATAATTGTCGTAGTGAGCCAATACATCGTCAATAACAATGAACAATAAAAATAATAATAATAATAAAATAATAAAAAAAAAATTATAGCTCATCCCAAAAAATCAGCAGTAGAAATAATAACTAGAGTAGTAGCAGTAAAATGCATTAACATTTGAGTAGTATTAGCGGCAGCAGCTCTAGTAGTAAAAGTTATAGCAGCTAGTAGTAGCGGTGGTAGCAGCAGTAGCAGCAGTAGCAGCAGTAGAAGTAGTAGCAGTAGAAGTAGTAGCAGTAGTAATGTTGATAGTATTGATAGTAACGGTAACAATAACGATACTATTGCTATGGACGATAGGGATTTATATGAAACATTAAAAATATTTCCCCAGAGGTAATTATCATATTTACGATTACTGTTGTCATTGGTGGAGTCATAATAAAAATCATAATAAAATAATAATAATAATAAATATTAATAATAATAATCAGCATAATTTTTTTATAATAATAGTATTAAGATTGGAAAAAATATTGTTAACTTATAAAGTAACGATTACGAGACAAAAATTCAATTAAAAATAATTTGAGAGCAAGCAGAAGTAGTAAGAATAATGTATAATTTATCAAAATTTCAATGTTAAAATGATCCAATTTTCAAACGCTGTTTTTGCTTGGCTATCACACACCGGCGATTCAAGATATGCAAAGAGGATACACTGAATCATTAACTTCATCGTCATCATTATTATCATCATCGTCGTCGTCGTCATCCTCCACGTTGTAATCACAACGTCTAGTTTTTTGTTATTGTGAATAATTTATGAAGAAGGTCATCATTATTAATTCCATGTTTATCATCATCATTTTTCTCATGACAATTTTATTTATGACTCAACTAAAATTTGTTTTTACCGAACCACACCACCACGTAGCTGCCACACCACCATATAGCTGCCACACCACCATGTAGTTGCCACACCATCATGTAGCTGCCACAACATCATGTAGCTGCCGCACCATCATGTAGCTGCCACACCATTATGTAGCTCATCATCTGCGCTGCTGCTTATTATACCAGATGAGAATGAAGTGGAAAAATATTAATTGAAATTGATAAATAGGAATAAAAGTGCCAGTAAAACAGTGTACGATCATTTCAGTAACGAAAATAATCATTATAAAAGATGTTATAACTACCAATTATTCAATAACCACCATTTTATGGAAACTCGCTAAACCACCATTATACAGTAGAATAAATAAACCAACAAACAAACCATTGCCGTGTTTGAACCACCAATTAGGCGAAGACCCAAGGGCATTTTTGACCTTTCAATGAAAAGGTCAGTGACGTCATCGGGATGGCGTGATGACGATGCTGATGATATTTGTGACGTCACAGGTTGATGATGGTGGTGGTGGTGACGATCGTTGCAGGAGATGAGCACGTCGTCGTCGTCGTTGTTGTTGTTGCTGTTCAATAGATGCATGCTGGCCATCAACTCCTCATCCTCTTCATCATCGTCGTCGTCGTCTTCATTATCGAATTGTATATCTGGACGTGTGTGTATGTGTGCGTGGTTGTTTGTGTGTGTGTGTGAGTGTCTGTGTGTGGTTGTTTGTGTATGTGAGTGGTTGCTTGTGTGTGTGTGTGTGTGTGTGTATGTGTGTGAGCGTCTGTGTGTGGTTGTTTGTGTATGTGAGTGGTTGTTTGTGTGATTTTGTGCTCGTTTTTTTTCTTTCTACGATTGCCAGTGTTGTTTTCGTTGAATAAATAATGAATATGTCCATCAGGAATATATATAAAAGGTTGCAGTGCAGTAGAGGTGCGGTGACGATGATGATGATGATGATGAAGGAAACGATGATGGTTGATGATGGTGATAATAATTTTAAAAACGAGAGTGCAGACTATGATGATGATGATGACGATGATGATGATGATGAAGAAGATGATGATGATGACGAGGATGATGACTGAAGAGAAATAATAAAGACGTTAATAAGAAGCATGATCGAGTGATGATGATGATTTTGATGGCGATGATATGAAAGTGATTAAGAGAATGAAGACGTTGAAGAATCTGACGATGATAAAAAGCTGACCATTAGAATCGGATCTTGGAATGTCCTGCTTGCTAGCTGCTATTGTGACGTCACTTCTTGGTGGATGGGAAGGAGGAGGATGAGGAGGAAGAGGATGAGGTAGAGATTGATGTGTTGTGGGCTCATTCTGATAAGATACAAAATTTTATAAAAATTCAAGTTGCTTTTTCATTTTAAATTTTTTACAATTCTTTCGTTAGAACTTTTCAATTAGACTGAAAACAGACACGCGGTTTATCTAAATGCACGTAAATCTATAAACTACACACGTCGTATTTAACAGGCTAGGATTATCTTGCACTTGAACACGGTCACGACGACATCAGAGCTAGGTACCTTAACCGTTACGCCATCACGTGGCTTTTTTCAAGATATATGTCTGACAATTACACTTACGATTGTGATGACTTATATATTTAACATTTACGCACTTTTAAATGTGGATTCGAAACGAAATCAAACAAATTGGATTTTTATGGGAAAAAATTTGTGTTTGAAGTAAAGAGTTCGTTCATTAAAAGTTTCTACCAGACATGATAAGCTTCGTGTATGAAAGTAAATTCGAAGAGATGTATGAATATTTTTTTAATTAATCTTCCTTTTGAAAATAAAAAACAAAAAATACTTTTGAGACAGCCACGTCTGAGTAATTAAAGTTTTTTTCATCTTAGTTTTTCTTATTTTTTCCTAGAATTAATTAAATTATTATTTTTGTGTCTTTCTTCATTTGAAGAAAAAATATTTTTATCGATTTTTTTTCAAAATAAAATAACATTTTCACCAATTATTTTATTCTACGATAAAAACAAACTTTAACACTTGAATTTTTACTCAATTTATTTCAATTTTTCGTAGAAGAGCATAAAATTGAAGGAAGCTCCGGAGAATGTTAAACAGACGAACAGACGAATTATTGAAGCAGAACTAAAATAAACATTCATTTTATCTTTTACCGAATGCAAGTTCATTTTTTTCTGTTGCTTTTTTTCTATCATTATCTTTTTCACATATTTTTTGCCATTTCTGTCTGTCCGTACTTCGCACAACTCAATTTTTTTCTCTGCTGCATTATTCAAACTTTTTTTACGTTCTCCTCGTTCTTCATTTCATTCTTTTAATTATTTGCTTTTAACATTTTCCGCAGGCTAAATTATTGTCCGATGAAGATGAAGGGGCAAATATGTTTAGAGATAAATTAAGTGTTTTTTTTCAACAATTTGCACTTACCTTACGTACTTTAATGTCTATCATACACGTTTCATTTTGTGTGTGTGCGTGCGTGTGTGTGTGCGCGCGCTTGGGTGTGTATTCTAATACGTGTGTATGTATGAATGCATGTATGCATGTTTGTGCGTGCATGCACGAATGCGTAGTCTGTACAAATTTTGTGTACATTTAGGTATAAATCGATAGTAGAGTTTTGCATTTGTCTAGATAGCTCGGTTGATAAGATGTCTCAACATTTCTTTGCAGCTCCTTCATGCTATCCTCAAACCCATTTGTCCTCTTCAAATATTTACATTTTTGTTTGCGTGTGTATATTTGATCTTTTATTTGATTTCTTTGTTTTGTTTTTTTTTTCTTTGCATAAATTGTAGTGTGACTTATTGATTGTAATCAACGTTTGAATGTTTGTCGATCCATTCATGCATGCTTCATTTAACAAACTCAAATTATTATTTTTTTAAATGTTTGTTCTTTTGTTCAAATGTTGGTTTTCATTGTTGGCTCACTTGTTTGTATCCTTGAATAAAATTGCTGTTTTTAGTGTTTCATTTTTTTCCTTATTATTTTTATTTGCTTTTTGACTGTTTCTCATTAATCACTATCATTTTCAAACGCGTCAATTTAACGGATCACTCGTTCATTCATTCTTTCAATCATTCATTCATCCATTTATTCATTCATTCATTCATTCATTCATTCATTCCTTTTTTCATTTATTCACTCACTTATCGTGTTTGGGGATAACGTTCGGTGAGTTTGTTATTTTTTAAAATGTTTTTTACAATATGACTAATCAACTCAGAGCTAAAACCAATTAAACAACCAACCAGCCAACTAATTAAGCAACCAACTAATCAACCAGCCAACCGGCCAACCAACTAATAAACCAACCAACCAAAAACCCAAAAAAAGTCAACTTTAAACAACCAACGCAATCAAGAACGACAACTGCCTAAACACATAATTTTTAATAAAAATCAAATGTCGTCAATAATTAAAAATACATACATAAACATAAATATACAAACTTAATTACATTTTTACAGATCTTAACATAGCCAATTATTACAAAAAAATTTTAAGTTTTTAAAAGCACTTAAAAACATTCTGCCTCCACTCGGCATCGTATATTTGCGTATATGGAGAGGCTTGCAAACAAAAACCCATTCCAGAAACGACGTGTGTGTATAGACATACAAACGAATACACACATACGTACACACACACACACACACACACACACACACACACACACACGCACACACACACATTAAACTTATTGAATGCAACCATTAAGCTCCCCTTTAAATAGCGTGTGCATGCCTTATAAGAGGGTTTCTTTAAAAAATACTTGCACTTTGTAATTCCTTCTGTATACACACGCATTTGAAAAACATCTGCTTATCTGGTTGTTGTTGAATTTGCTGTTGTTGTTGTTGCTGCTGTTGTTGTTGTTGTTGCTTGTATGCAATTTATTGCGATTGTTAAACATATTAAACTTGTTGAATCAGTTAATTAGTTGTATGCTGGTGCGTTCGTTATGAATTGTGGATGTTACAATTTTATATATATATATAATATTACAATGTATTGATGTTACAGTGTAATGATGTTACAATGTAATGATGGTACAATGTAATGATGCTATAAAGCCGTGTGAAGAGTTTTAGCTGTGTGATTGTTGAATATTGTATATCCCATCCCACAGTCACAATGTTTGCTCACGTTTTAAATTTGTTTACAGTGCAATTTTAATGTTATTATTTTCTATACACACTCGTCTTGAGCAAATCTGTTTAAATCATTCATACAGTACAACAGTTCAACATCGGGTGGAAAGTTTTTTTTTAAAAGACAATTCAACTGCTTACTTGGCTGCCGGTGCCGTTACTTCTCCTGTTAATGTTGTTGTTTTTGTTGATGTCACTGTTGTTGTTGTTGTTGTTATTGGGGGTGGTGTTATTGTTGTTATTACTAGTGTAAGTTAAGTCGGTGAGAGCGGTAGAATGGGAAGTTGTAATTTGTTTATGTCTCTCCACGTCATCCATGCATGTTGCTCCACTTCTACCATCCCCGCCACCACCACCACCACTTCTACCACCACCACCACTTGTACCATCGTCACCAGCGACTTTGGCCACTGCCAAAATTTTTCCACCTTTCGTTGGTTTCTCGTTTTTCTCTTTCAACGACAGCCTGCCCGCGTATGTGTCGCAAATTTGTTTCAGATCCCACTCGTTACTGCTCCTACTAGTAGTAATTTTAGTTGTTGTAGTTGTAGCTGTAGTTGTTGCGATCGTGTATGCTGTTGTTTTGTTTTTCGTGACGTTACTACTACTGCTGCTACTGCTGCTACGGTTGTCGCCGTAATCGCTACGGCCTCTATGAATGGAAGTCTTGAGTGTGAATGGAAGGTAGAATAAATAAATAAATATTGAATTCTGATTGTTTGACCTAGCCTTATGCGGCCAATGGTGTTTTATGAATATTTATGAAGTAGTCTTATGAATATTTATGAAGCTGTCTTATGAATATTTATGAAGTTGTTTCTTTATGTACTGGTGTGACATCTGGGGTGTGTTTTTTTGTAGTTGCTCTGGCGTGTTTAATGTTTGTGTTGTGTCGTGTATAGTTATTTAATCTGGTTAAACATTTGAATGGATTGTTTGTTGTTTATGTTTAACTACAAATTAGATGAATATTTACAATAAATAGCGTCGTCATCATCTATGGTCGGGCCGATTACGATGCTGGCGACAATGAAGATGATGACAGTGAAAATGATGTTGATGATGAGAAGGATGAAGTTGATGCTAATGAAGTTGATGATTATGACGAATATGATGACATAAATAATGATAATGATAACGCAAATGAAAATAAAATGAGAAACAGCCATCGATTGAATGGTGGAGAAGAAAGCTTTGGGTCGTGAAAGACTGTAGCTGTGAAGATGACGACGATAATAATAAAAATATAAAAGTAGTGACGATGATAATGACGTTGATATTTATAATTATCTTAATAAGAGTGATAACGGCGACGATGACGATGAAGGTAGGATCATCTTTTCTAAGTATCACATGATCGTCAATTACAGTATCAAAACAGAATCATTACTATTAACATCATTATCATCATTATCATCATCATCATTATCATTATTATTATGATGAAAAGATAACTAACGGATGAAAACCGGAAAGAGTTGGATAGATTGAGAGGGATGGCTGCCATGTGATCCATGTAGTTTGCCTGCCTGCATTCATTCATTCATTCATTTCTTCATTCATTTCTTCATTCATTATTATTATTTTATTATATTTTTATTCTACATTCATTCATTCATATCTTTATCCGTTATTATTATTAATTCATTCAATATTATTATTGTCACGTTATTTTCTTTAGTTATTTTTCCTAGTAGTAGTAGTAGTAGTAGTAGTAGTAGTAGTAGTAGTAGTAGTAGTAGAAGCAGTGCTTGCCGCTTTTAATTATGACAACGATCAAACAAATTATTTTAAACTTCTTGAAACTTTCCTAGAAAAATGCATTATCGCGAAAATTTATTATCAACATTATCATTGCCATAGTTATTAACATTATCATTACCATAATTATTATCATTTTCATTACCATTATTATTATTATTGTTGTTTTTAGTAGTAGTAGTAGTAGTTGTTGTTGTATTTGTAGTAGTAGTAATAATAGTATTAGTATTAGTATTAGTTGTATTAGTTGTAGTAGTAATAATAGTAATAATAGTATTAGTAGTAGTAGTAGTGGTAGTAGTAGTAGTAGTAGTAGTAATAGTAGTACTAGTATTAGTAAATATAGTAGTAGTAGTAGTAGAAGTAATAGTAATAATAGTAGTAATATTAGTAGTAGTATTATCGACATATTCCATTTATATAGCGCTCATTCTAATTAAAGCAACCCCAAAAGCATATATATTATTTAAAACTCTATGTCTGCCAAAGTTTATTTTGAAAGAGAGAGGTTGAAAGTGAAACCATGCTAATTAGGAAAGTTGATATTGGGGTGGCAAAAATAACTACAACGCTGATGACGGATGTGATGATGAAGATGACGACGAAGACACGATGATGATGGTGACTGCTATTTCTATTGTTATTAATTGCGCCAGTGATGTTGATGATTAGGACAAAGATGATGATGAACATGAAGATGTTCATCACTACATGGTGATGACGATGATGGGGACGACGACGATGATGATTAAGATAATTAAATTATTAAAAAATTATTAAGATAACTATACTATTATGTTGATAGATATGATACATATTGATGATATTAAAGGACGATAATAGAGATGATGATACAACAAGGATGATATAATGATATCCATATTTACAGCGATGACGACGATGATGGTAGTATTAATGAAAATTATTCACTTAATCATTCATTTAATCATCTTTCAATTGTAAAACACAACTTATTCCATTAGCTAAGTATTTAATTATCTAATTAATTAATTAATTAATTAATTAATAATACCAATAAATATTGCGGAAAGCCATTGACGAAGCAAATGGAATCACGATCTTGCTTGCGAAAATGATTTTCTTCCCTGAGAGCCTTACTCTAACTAGGCAGCACACTCGCGCTACACAACAATTTCTTCAGGCTTATTGATTTTAACGACTGCAATTATTACTACTTTTATTACAAGTTTTGCTTTTTATACCAAATGTATTACAATTTTTTTTGTTAACGCTGCTACTGCTGCTGCTACTACTACTACTACCAATGCTACAACTACTACTACAATTACTACTTTTACTAATGCTGCTACAGCATGTATTATACTATTTTGATTTATTTTTTTTTGAAACAATGGTTTGGCAGACGCAGAATTTGTTTTAGCATACAGTCAGTCTTCTATCAATATCCCAATACTACCACTATGGTAACAACTACTAATAATACTAAAATTACTGCTACTGCTGCTGAAACTAGCACAACTATATTGATTTTGAGTTTTGGAAAAAAAACCTTCAATGTTTCTACGTACATAATTGATGCCTTCGTGAGGAAAATTTTACTTGCTTGGCAGTTTGAATATTTATGCCCACGAGAGGTTTGATTTTTTGAGTTTTGCGCGTGGGAGCCAGTTTTTTTTGGCTAAAAACCGACAACGTTGCATTCCTATTGCCTGAGCTAACCCACCAACCAGTTAATTTTTTGTATTCTGGTATTATACTATTATACCATAAAAATACTAGCAGTTAATGATAGGGTTGCTAATAAAAATAATAAACTTACATTTGAAAGAGGATATTGTTAAATAGCAGAGTGTGTGATAGATAGAAATGACAGCATAGGTTCCAGAAAATTAACTTTTATACAAAAATCCAAACAAATCTGTTCAACCTGTGAACAAGCATGGAGATTGTGGAGGTGTCCAAGGATTTTATGATGGCAGAAACATTCAGATGACTCCTGCCGTACAACACCTGGCCGTTCACCTGTCGTGTCGTGTGGTTTGGTGTGGCTGGAGTGGCTGGTGTGGTGTGGCTGGTGTGTTGCAGTGTGAGTTTTGTTTGGTTTTGTTAAAGTACTACGTTCGATAAAGTGTCAGTTAATTTCATTTAGTAAATATGATGAAGCGTTTTATAAATAATGTACGCACTTCTGACTCGTACTATCAATAATATGTGCTTTTCAAGAAGCTGCGTTATATTATCTTGGGGTAGATACCTACATTGTATAGTACTACGTAATAGTAACAGTTACTGCTAGGTTCACATTATAAACATCGTAACTGTATAGAATTGATTATGTTATATAATTAAAATCTATTTTTAATTCTATTTTAGAAAATACACAGTTCAACCAAAGACATATTTTAATGCAGAAAAAATTCGTTTTACCTGCGTTCTCTGGCAAAAGTTCATCGATAAACACATATATCATGCGAATAATTATAGATAGGTAATTTATAGTCTCTAAATATGATACAATATATATACATATATATATGTCTGTGTGTGTGTACGTGTATGTGTATATTTGTTTGTGTATGTCTGTGTGTATGTTTGTATGTTTAGCTGTGTGTGTGTGTGTGTGTGTGTGTGTGTGTGTGTGTGTGTGTGTGTGTAGTATTAATGGAGATATTCATTTCGTGGAAGCACCTAATAAGATTGTGCGGACTATTGTTGTATACGGATGATGTTTGGTGTGGCTTTATGATGTTTTATGTTGCTGTTGTTGTGTTTTTTTTCAGTTCTTGCCTTTGCTGTTGTTGTTGATGTGATGGTTTGTGGTTGATGTTGTTGATGTTTGTTGTTGTTGTTTTCTTCTTGTTGTTATTGTTGTTCTGCACTTTTGTTTCCAGTATTGATCGGTTTTCTGTTATCCTTTATTTCATAAAATAAGCTGGATACTTGGGTGCGTAAGCAGATGTTGTATGTAAGATCTACTTTGTTGTTGCATTTTGTTTGTAAGTGTAGTTTGTATGTGTAAGTATTTGTGTGTTGTTTTTGTGTGTGGTGTGTGTGTGGTAAAATTGTTAAGAAATTATTTGGATCGTTATCGTAACTGCTGTCAAAACTTGCAAACTATTCAAACTGTTCTGAATAATTTTCAAAATATTTTTATAAGGCTTTACTAAAAAAATCTTTTTCCAAGAAATTTTGATTAAAAAATTTATTCCGAGAAAGAAAATTTGTCGCAGCGTTTTTAGTCCATTTTGAAAAGCCTGGTTCTTTAAAAAATTCGTATAAATGGTATTAATTATTTATTTATATTTTTATAAAAATGTTATTGATGTTATTTTTACTATAAAAAATATCTAATGTTTTGTTGTTACCGGCGTTGGTGTTTTTTTTTGTTGTGATGGTTTTTTGCTGTGGTTATTGTATTTTGGTGTTGTCATCAAAAAAGTGAACGACACGCGAGTGTCTGTGTTGAACCTTATCAAACATAAAATCTCCAATGTGTGAATTGGTTGTGGTTTTATTGCGGTTGCTGTTTGTTGTTTGCTGTTGCTGCTGATGTGTTGTTTTTTGTGTTTTACGTACCACCGTGCTTGCTTCTTTCATATAAACTGTTGTTTCTTTTGTTTTTGTTACTTCTTATATTGTTGTTTTGGCCGTTTTTATAGCATCGGGTGAAATATTCGCAAGAATTGAGAGATGTAATTATACAATAAGAAATGAAAAAACACACTTAATTTTTACTCATTCATTTGTTCACTCATTGGCTCACAAACTCACTCATTCATTCACGCATTCATTCATTCAGAGGATCATTGCAACAGCATATGGGAGCACATGATGTACATACTCGCGTATTTAAACGTATGCAAGGCAAGAGAAAGTTCGCTCTGTCTCTTAATCTCATGTTGGTGGCGCAAACATTGCATACGTGCCAGTTCGAACGTACAAATGAACGTAACGGAGTATGAATTAATTTTAAATGTAACAAATCAAAAAAATACTCATGCAGATATAAATATTGCGTACATCAGAACGTAAATATGTGTGTGGATTGTTGTGCAAACAGTCATTTATATTTGAGATTGCGGGTCTATTCCCACTGAATTACAATGCGTGTGCTCGTTTGTTTGAGTGGAATAAATAGGATGAAATGCAATTGCTTACGGACGTGCGCCGCAAATATTTAGTCTTCTCGTCATACAACTAGTGAGAGTTATTTCGTACTTTTAATGCGTGCGTCGCTTTTTGCGCTGGAAATATGATTAGATGGAGAACAAACCTGGTTTGTTTAACACGGAAACGTTGTAAATTTTCCATTGTTAAGGAATTGAATTTATCATGCGACAGACTGGATGAATGCATTGCATTGCGTGCGTGCGTGCTTTCTGTTAAATGCGGAAAATGTGTTTCAGGCATTAATCATGAGCGAGAAGAATAAACAGAAAATGGTTTTTTAATGTAAAAATAATCGATTTAAAATAAATTGAAAAAATAAAAAATTATGGCGAAACTGACGCCAGATATATTAACGACAAAACATACAAAAAACGTAAAATCATTATGAACATAAAGGAATAGATGAATAAACAAATGAATGAATGAAAGGGAATGAATATCCAATACCATTGATTGGACTGACTGACACATCGTCATTTTGTTCGTGCATGTGTTTGGTGGTATGAACAGTTAAGTACACTATGACCATATGTACACTACTACAGTACAAATTGGCTACAATACAAAACGTCATACCATAGTTATATTATAAATACCTATGAAATGTTATTGATTTAACCCAACTGTATTAGTGAGAAAAAACGTATATAGATTTTAATTCAATAAAACATACTTTTGGCAAAAATTCAATAATTATTTTGCATAATTTAATAATTATTTGGGCATAATTTAATCTGTATTTAATAATAATAATAAAAATGTCTATTGGCCAGATTCTTAAAAATAACTTCACCGCATGGAAAATAACCAATTTTCTTTGAAATTATTAATAATAACTCAATTGGACGTGGAATGCTCTCATCAATTTTCACAATTTTTTTTCATCTTTTACTCTACTTTTTTGCTTTTCTTTAGTTTTCACGACAAACAAAATGTACTCGTAGGTGCGTGTGACGTGCTTACTAGTATGCATTTGTTCATGTAGAAATATCTTGAATGTATATATCTGAATGTAAAATGTTATTGAATTACTAACTTACTAACTTCATTCTTCATGCAGATTCCACACACATCACACACACACACACATCACACACACATCACACACACATACACACACATGAATACACACAAGCACATAAGCATAAACACATTTGCATGCATACAGCTATCCAATTCGAACCAACAAACTTTGTTATTTTTTTGATAATTCATAGCAAGAGAAATTTTTCAAAAAATTTCTCCAATACAAATGCAAATTGGCAAAAAAAGAAATTATGTATTCGAAATAAATGTTAAAGTCTGCGGAAAAAATTGTATTCCTGATGTAATGTGATAACGCAGCATTCAACGGTGCAACTGGCCAAATTGAACGATAAGTAAAACGTTCAACAAACAAACAACAAGTAAACGTGCAAACAATTCGTTCACATGTTCATCTTGCCTACAAACATTTAAACGAACATGTTACATACAAAAACAATTACATAAATTCTAGATGGCTGAACATAATAAGCACACAAACACACCATTAGAAAAAAATTAATTTTTACAAACATGCTTGCAAATGCTAGCAAACAATTTTTCAGCCAAGAGATCACATTACGCACACAATTTTTTGGCACACAAAATATATTTTTTAATTAACGAAAAATATATTTTTAAACAGGGCAATTTTATTTTCCAGAAAAAAAACATTTTTCACATCAGTCAGTCTGTCTGGAAGACTGAGCAGACATCTTCCGTGTCAATCCTCTTGAAACTCTGAAATTAGTATTCCCAGTCAGTAGGCAGTGTGAAGCAGTTTAGTTGCTCGTGCCGGCCAGATCGATGCAAACGTTTCTTGAAAGTTTTCTGCAGAGATGGCTATCGAAAGTCTACATACAGACGCACATGCACAGGCGTGCACGCGCATAAGAACACACGTACACTGTACAGACACACACACACACACACAAGCACACTACACAAGTGAATGTCCTCGTCCTACTCGAGTTGGCAAAACTCTTCAAACATTTTTAACAAATGAAAAGTGTTGTCTACTGCAAGTAAACAAACGCATAAGCATCACATCACGTACACGCAGTACATCTTGCATCCATACGTGCGGCGCAATACAACACATACGTGCGTGAAAGTGGTACCACAAAATACGAAATCACACATACTAATACACGAAAATGCGTACGACACTGTACAACCGTCGCATACGTTTGTGTACATCGCGTATGTATTAATATTTGGACGTCCGTTATAACGGGAAACTTGTATTTATGAGAACGTACAAGAACTCTACGCGAATGTTTGTTTTGCGTTGAGTGTGTTATGCGCGTTGCGCTGTGTTTCACGTGTAGTTTTCAAAATTTTGAATCCATCCGTGAGATTATTTTTACTCGAATTTAAATGGAAGCAATTCATGGCAGAAATGATTAGGAGCACGAGATACGTTAAGTCCGCGATGCAAATGCCACCCCCTCCCTACCACGTACATTTTTCCCACGTGATCAGCGTACATACCTGGTAGTTTTCTCCGCTAGTACTTCAATTTGGAAATAAATTTCAATTTACATGCAATTAAGTCAATATAAACAGAAGGATAATTTGATGAGTAGATGGATGGACGAGTGGGAAGATAGGTTGTTTAATGAATTGAAGAATGAATGATGGAGGTTTGACTGAATAGATGGATGGATGAATGGATAGGTAGAGTTGACATAGAATGTTACTGCAACGATCTATCTAACTGTCTCCATTAACCAATTGAATCCTCGCGAAGATATCTCTCGCGAATTTAAAACTAATAAAAACATTTTGAAATCGTCAACTGCCATTGCAATCACTTCTTTATTAAA